TAAGTCAGAAGTTCATATGACTGATATTAAATCTTTTCTATTTTTCCAAAGGAGAAGACACAAAGCAAAAGTGATAGTTTTGTGACATCTGAGCTGGGGCGATGGTAGATATGTGAATGGTCGTTGAATGAAAGTGCAGAAAAAATTGATCAGAGGAGAGAATCAGCCTTGCTGTCCTCCCCATTTGACTGAAATTTGGTCCAGTTTGCTTTAAATTATAATTATTATAGACAAACAGATGCTGAATGGGAGGCATTTTTATCAGCGATACTCTTAAAACTCTATGCCTTTGTTTTGGAGGGTACAATTTGACCACAAAAAAAGAGAATTAAAGCTTTTAACTGGTGCCACTTCACTTCCTAAATTCAAAACTCAGCCTTGATTGAGAATGTTTTGTCCAAAATGGGGTTATAAGTTCATGTACAAAATTGCTGCTCCCCAACTCTGAACATACAGCAATAATAGCTAAAAATATTATTTATGGGGCCATCATTGCTCCATACATACAATTCTTTTATACCAAAAACAAAAACAAAAACAAAAAACTGAAGTAAGTTAGGCTAAAGCTGGAGACTGACTGCTCTATAGGGAGGCCAAGACTGGAGATCTGCTACACAAAGAGGCTGCTAAGAGCTCAATTTCTTTGGTAGGAAAATAGAACGCAAGCCTTCCATATCCCAGTCAGAAGTTAGAGTAGGAAAAAAGCCAAAATAATTCTCAGGGACCATAGCCTATATTGCACTGCTGGGTGGCATGGCAGGAGGAAGCAGAGACAGCTGAATATGGCTCAAGCCATATGTTGACTTGGACCCTCGATCTGTTACAACTCCCAGAATGGTAACTCTGAGCTGCCAATGCTAGACTTGTTTCTGACTGGGGACTTGGGTAACCCAAATAGAGGCAACTATAAAAAGACCAGACATATAGAAGTAAGTATGGAGAGAGAAATAGGGAAAAAAAGGAAAGAAAAGAAAAGGAAAAACAGAAAAAGTTAAGCCAGAAGGAGATAGTTAACTTGATTTTGCAACTGAAATTTCATAATGAAAGCTAACTTATAATAGTGAACAACTTTAATAAATGACAAAGTTTATTACCCAAATAATTATAAACTTTCAAATAGGACAGTAGAATATGTATATTCAAAATTCTAAAAAAATGGGAAAGATAAAAAGCAAGATCAAGGTAATTGTGAATAAAAATAAATGATTATGAGTTAATTTCAGCAGATGACATTTTACCAAGTAGATATTTTGAGAAATGAAAAATATAACTAAAATAAACTCAGTAGACTGAACAATCAAAAAGGAATCAGAGAATTGATGGAAAGATTTGAGAGTTTGACTCATTATTTAGAAGAAGAGAGAGATAAAGTGATAGAAAAGTTGGTAAGTAAAATTAAGTGACACTGAGGATAGATTGAGAAGCCCCAACCTATGTATAACAGGTGTTTCAGAAATAGGAAATAGAAGAACAAGAAAGGTAATATTTCAAGAGATAAAGGCTTAGTGTTTTTCTAAATTGAAGACAAAAATTATTTTTATTATCATTAATAGACTCTGCATGCTGAAACAAAAAATTAAAATAAATCCAATTGGATGAAGGAAAATAAAATGATAAGTAATAAATAATAAATAGAAAATTTTGCATGGTAACACAGGAAAAAAAGACAAATTAGGTAAAAGGGGGTGAAGTTAAGTAGACAGCAGACTTCTAAAAAGCAACAATAGATGTTATAAGTTGTCAGAAAGGAGAAATAACTACCTGCATATAACTCTAACTGGCTGAACTACCATTCAATAGTAATAGCAAAATACTATTTTCAAGTACTAGGATTAAGTGAATTTATCCTCATATAAAATTGTTAACTGAAGAAATAATGAACCAGCAAGCTAGAGAACCTGAAGAAGATATTATTGAGATGTGAATGCAACCTAATTAAATATTGATTCTAAAGTTAATATTGATAATCACTAATTATCTTAATATGGTAGAAAATAGGAACAGCTAAAGCAGGCTAAACATTTTGAGAGTGAGGAAAAATAATGAAAACTTTAGGTCTTGTTGGAAAAATATGAAAATAAGTAGGAAATCAAAAATTTTAATGTTTACACTAAAAGAATGAAATACAAACTATAGTTTCTAAACTAATAAAGAGAGAGAGAGAAAGAGAGCAGACACATATTATCAAAAAACAGCCTGGAAAAGAGTCACAGGGAAGAACAGAAAAACATGATACAGAGAAAATATAGAAGAAAATAGCATAAATTAGTCTAAATAAATCAGTAATCACAATAAATGTAAATGGTTAAATACACCAATTAAGAAGAGAGATGATCCAACGCATATTTAAAATAAATGCAAAATCTAGATTTACAGATGTATGTGTATCTTTAGAAAGAGTGGTTTAGGGCTCGGCACCTGTGGCTCAAGTGGCTAAGGCACCAGCCACATACACCTAAGGTGGCAGGTTCGAATCCAGCCCGGGCCC